TTAGTAAGCCAAGAGATTCCTTCACCTCTTAAGCATTTCCACATCTCTATTGGAATATCATCAGATCCACCAGCTTTTCCACACTTCATTTTCTTTGAAGCCTCTTTAACTTTGGTTTTACTAATACGCAGATAAAAATAAAAAATTTTATTTTCATTTAGGGTGCTAAAGTCACTAAAGTCAATCGTATTTTCATATTCTTCATTAAAAAGTTTAGCAAAATATCTCATTTATCTTTTTTGAATATCATCTTTTAAGAAAAGTACTTTTTGATCTTCATCCTTAATACACTTCACTTGAACTAAATCCTTACTGCTCTCTTTGTTTGGCTAACTTATACAAATATCTTTCTTCCTCCTTAGTATCTAATCTATTATATAAATCATTAAAAACTAAGTTATTTGTTATTCCTTACTAACCTCTTTATAGCTTTTCCAATTATTAAAATTTTTATATTTAAATCAATTTTTATATCAAATATTCTTATTTTTTATCTTTTCTTGCACATTTAGATTCCATTATCAACTATTTTTACTATTAGAAACTTTTTCTTTCAAAACTCCAAGTACATCTTTTGCAATATTCTTAATATCACTAGTCATTTTTTCTCACATAATATTAGCATCCTCATGCACAATCTTAAAATCTAAAATCTTACTCTAAAAAATACTTTTGTTAATATTCTTTAAATTCTCCCATCTAATCCTAGAAAATCGTTTTACTTTATTTTTTATTTTTTGCCCATTTATATTAAAGTTTAAAACTAATAATTGATGTTAAATATATAAATTTTTACTCAGAATAACTTTATAATCTTTGCAATCTAAACAATCTAATTTTCTTATTAGAAAATAAAGAATTAGTCTTTTATTATATTCATTTTTATAAGTGGTAAGATGCTCATCTCTTTTCTTAAATAAGATATTAGTTATTAAAAATCATAAGCTAAAGAAAAATCTAATATGATATTACCACATTCATTTGTCGTTCCAAATCCATGGCCACCATGAATGTTTTTAAAATCATCTACCTCTCTACTAACATGTCCATTTAAATCTCCTTCAATAAAAACTTTCTTCAAGAGATATCTTTTATATTAATTCTTCTAAGTCATTCCAAAATTTTAATTTTGAACTCATATTCAAACTTACTTGAGAAGCATAAGCACTTATAATATTAACAATCTTAACATCAACAATAATCTTTAAAGCTATAATTCTATCTCCAATTCGGTTAATTGTTATAATATTATCCTTTAAACTCTTATCTATAATCACACATACACCATTTTTAGTACGACTCCTACCCGAATACCATAGTTTATATCCTAAACTATCAATCTCCTTAGCCTTCTCTCCAATTCATTTAATTTCCTGAATGCACAGAATATTTATCTTCCTATGAAACATAATATCTATTAATTCCATTAATTTTCCTGTATTGGAGCCTATATTCCAAATTTATATGCTAATTTTAGTTTCATGGACTAGCTTCTTTGCTCACATCTGTCCTTAATGTGGGATCCCTTGCCTATTTAACACTAAACCCAAGCGCCCGGTGCAGCAACCCTTGCACACTTGTAACTATATTCAGGCCATACAACACGTCGCTTCCAGGGGACGCCCTAGCATTAACACAATTTTTTAAAAGATTCATGTTATGATTATTCGACAAAATTTTACGCTGGCTGTCAACTACCTAATGCAACCCTCCATTTTTCTCATCCAGGATATGAGACCTAGCAACGACACGTCTCTTCCAGTTAGGGCATGCTAATATGAAAAAAGTAGCTGTGAAGGAGGATATATATGAATGAGAAATATTTCTTGCTCTTCATTTTTAATTTGTGTAAAGGTTGGATATGGGACAAGGTCATACGGATGAGACGAATTTATAACATATAAGTTGTAGAAAATTGATGCTTTGACTAAGATGCTATATGATAAGGGTAACTGAATAGATTTCATAGGATTTTTTAATTGATTTAATTTTTGTATTTAAATTAATAAATTCTATAAAATAATAATAATAATAATAATAATAAATTCTTTAAAATAATAATTAAAAAAATTTAGGAAAAGGGTATATTTCTATCCTTGCATAATTCCTCGCCAATCGTGTGTTTTGATTTGCATGCAATCATCTTGCATGGGGATAAATTTCATGTTTCGACTTGTGTAATAACCCTAAAAATTGGACCTATTTTTTAAGTAATTTTGCTATTCTGAACGCAATGGCACAGACACAAACAAAGGAATTTTGGACGATTTTAAGCAATGTCGTGTCTATAGATCGTTATTTTTCAACTGCATTTGCCAAATTAATTGTTAGGTTCCTTCTTGATAATTTCAATGTCTTGAATGCAACGACGCAATCCATTTTACAAACTAATGATGTTTAAATAATTTTACGAGATGCCAACTTTATAGGCCTTCATTTTCATCATTGTTTGGTCAAATTGCACACGATTTCTTAGTAAATTCAATGTTGTGGAAGCATCGACACAATTTATTCATCAAACAAATAATGTTTGAGTGATTTCCACTGTGGTCGAGGCATTTCGAACTCATTGCATGCGACGTCGTGTCGGCTGATCATCCCCCTTATTGTACATGTTTGGATTGATCATGAAATAGATCAAAGGTCAAAAACTAGTGGAAGCCACCAAAAAGTTTAATTGACAATAAATTTTCATTAAGAAGTTTGCTAAAAATTAAGGGACTCCAAATAGGATAAATAATGAAAGGAAGAACTTTTTGGAGCCTAGAAGCAAGGATTATGGCAACAATTTTGTAGAATTTACCCACGAAAGTTGTCATGAAGTCCTTGATGTAATCAAGAGCTCTATATTTGGGATAGGAATGGCCTTTCATTCTTCAAGAACTTGAAGTTAGAAAAGAAAAATGGACAACTGTAGTGAAATCTTTGCCAATGATGCCCCAAGTAGTTTGGAAAAAATTTATATCCTAGAATTTGTTCTTATGTTTCACCAATACAACACCCCATATATCATACTAAAAAATGTCCTCAACAATAGAGGAGATTAGATCCACAAGATAAGTCTTGCCCACTGGATATTAGAACTAAGAAGTCTTAGCATAGGGTTTGTTGTATAACTCTTTCATAAGCTTTATTTTGATGACGAGAATCAACCAATCCAAGAATGACGTGAAACTTCAAAATGTTATTGGAAGCATGCTGATACGCCTTGGAAGCAAACATAGCAAACAAAAAATAGAAAAACTACAGTAAAAACCAAAACGGCAGCTGATTTTGTAAATAAGAGAAAACAAGATACATGTGATCTACAATTTGAGAGGTAGATCGATTCTCCCAATCAACCTAAACGCCGGTAGGAAGCCCTCAAAGAGACAGAAAAATTAAAACTTAGTCATAGCATAAACTAAATCCTAAACAACTCCCCCCTTAAATAGACCTAGAACACAATAACATAAATATAACCTTCCTAAATAATTTAAATATAATTTAGGAAACCTTCATAAACAATTATACATGATTTAGAAAACCTTCCTAAACAATTAAATATGATTTAGGAAACCTTCCTAAACAATTAAACATTAGTTAGGAAACCTTTTCTAAACAAATAAACCCTTTCTAAACAGCATAACATAATTACGAAATCTTCCTATTCAATTAAATAACTTCTCCTTGATTCCCTCTCCTTACATAATGAATAATAGCTTCCCTGGGTCCCACAAGGTAGACCCTCTTGACGTATCACTACTCCCCTCCCAAAAAGCCACAATGTCCTCAAGGTGGGACGAATGTATTGTCCATCAAGAAGTTTTCCTGGAGCCATCGCTATGTATTTGTGCTTTTGATAGATATCGCAATTGGCTAGCATCTCCTCCACATCATTATGTATTCCAATCCAATACAATTCTGGCGTTAAGCTTACGATAGATATTGTCTACAAACAAGTGCCTTCCCATGGCATTACCGTGGAGCTCCAACAACACGTTGGGTACATGTGGTGACGTGATGAGGATGGATGATGAATCAGGACCAAATCCAAGGTTTTTAAGGAGCACTTCAACTCCTGCTTTTTTTTAAAGAATTTGAGGTGTGTAATAAAAGACATCATTTATGTCAGAGAGAACTGCTGCAGAATTTGAATACCAATACTAAAAATTAGTGCTTGTTTCAAATACGAATGTGAAAACAGCCCCCCGTAACGTATCATATGCCTCCCTTGGATTCTCAGATAAAGGATTTGGATATTGCCATTGCCTTTGGACAGCCAATGAGCCTTACTTATATGGAGAATTAGTTCTGAGTTTCAACAAATACTAAAAGAAGAGAGAAATCTGATCAACTAAGACACACACAACTACAATTACAACATTATTATTATATTTGACTGAACAAAAGTGCAAAACAATATGCCTTGTATGTAATTATTTCAAAACCTTTAATCATATCACATAGGATCCTAAATTATATTCACAAACGAAATATAATAATTGTTATCTCAATCTAGATCTTTTTGGAGAGCTTAGTTAAATGAACTTATAACTTAAATAAGGTTGAGTAGCCCACTTGATAGCCTAATTAAGAATGTCCTCAATCTTACTAGCGTTTTTCCAGGGAGATAGTTCAAAAGAAACAATGTGTCCTAGATCTAGTCTGTAAGAGGATCAAGTTGAAACATAAAACTGAAAATATTCCATCAAAACAAACGAAATGCTCAAGTACAGAAAAGCCATCATTTTGATAAATTCCATATTTGGATAATTGTCAAGTAGTATATTTACCAAAAACATCCATTTGAAAAATTGATTCATGCCACGTTATCCATCTGGCATACACGAAGCTGAACACGATCAACACTCAACCCTAATTCGAACCTTTCTTCCAAGGCATGGTAATCTAATAAACTATAAACAAAATGAACCATGGCACTATATCTTTAGAATGACTGACTGACAGAGAAAATTTATTTTTAAGGGATACCAAGGGATGAAGAGAGAAAATCTTGCCTTTCTTTGCAGCTCAGCAATTGAATCAAGGAGCAGTTTATTCTGATTTACAAGAATGGTTATATTGACTGAGATTAGATACAATACAAGTAGTGCGGTCAAAATTAAAGTACTTTGATTTAATTATTTACCATTTGGAACCTTATATGCTTCAGCGCAGTTTCAAGTTGCAGCTCTAGTTGTTGAAGCTCTGTCAGGCTCAAGGTGTCAAGATTCTCGCCCATGACATGCCTGAAATACACTTAGGACGAGCTCACATTAGCAATTTCTCTCTCCATATTCTTGTCAAAATTAAAAAATATTTATTACCTTCGGCTCCTCTGTAAGGCATCAACCTTCCGCTTAAGCTCTTCATATTCTTGACACAAATCTTCCTGAAAGAATGAAGCGACATAGGTTTAAGTTAATAACTCTATTTGGTTTTAAGTGGCTTTGTGCTTCTTAAAGCATGTATATAGAGCTCTTCATAAACAGATATGGATTAAATAGAGGCTAGCAAACAAAGTTGACAGTTTTCAAGATAAATTAATCCAGCGTATAATGATATATACCTGTGACACTGGTTCTTGTATAGGAAATGCTTTTTCAACATAACTGTTCCGCATGTAGCGTTCAAGAATCCGCTCCATGCTATGCAACATGGAAAACATTAGTAGCATTTTCACAAATACATAACAAATTTACAAATGCACCCTCATATCCATAGCTTTCAAATACCTAACAAATTTGATGTTTCATGGTATTTCACCTACTAAGTATATTTTAGCAAGCAGGTGTTGCAATCTTATAACATATAATCGTGGAAACATAAAAAATTCTTTACCCTGGCGGAAGTGCTATTAGCTCGGAGATAATATTGCATAAACTAATTTAAACACATGGAGAGCTATGTTTGTTTTCACCGTATATTATTTTTTAGTGTCATGTAGTGTTGTATATAGAATATTCAAAAGCATTCAGTATATACTAATACAAATAAAAAACACAGTAATATATAGCTTGGGGCATCTAGCTGTCCGTGTGGCAAGCAAAGAATAATCTGCCATTCGCTCGAGGATAATGTCAAGCTTCAATGTAAAGCCACATGATAGATATATTTTCAGTATTGTTCGAAATTTTTATTAGAGGATACATGGTCGTCAAGCTTTCTAGTCTCAAATATGAAACGATTAAATTCAGAAAGAGGCAGTATAAATGCCTCAAAACATTCTCTGCACAGCACTGGTCAGCTGGAATCTTATGACTTGGCATTTATGAATCGTCAAGAATCCTTTGAAATCTGAATTTAGTGATTTTGCAAGTTAAATCTACATATAATGATATTATGAAAAAATACTATGATCCCGATAGCCATTAGCCATTTTTGAAAACATGACATAATATATAGTGCATGTCAAACTCAAAATGACCATCATCTAGAAACTTGGTAACTTAATTGGGGGGTGAGCTATGATATGAAAGCTTATTGATGTAGAACGGAATTGATGGCAGCCACCCAAAGAAAGAAGATACCAAGGTTCCTGTGGTGGTTGAGGGCTTGAGAGGAAGTAGACATCGAGTGGTGTCTCCTTGGCGTCTGGATAACAACCCATTTCATTCTCGAACCTTTGGACAGCACATAGAAAATCTGGGACAGCAATTTGTGGTCTTCCAAAGTGCTGGACAGCAAGAGATTCTTGCTGGAATAAGTGGAAAGCAAGCCGAATTTCAGGAAGGCAGCAGTTCGAACACTGGACAGGACCTGGACAGCAAGCAAACAACAGGAGCAACACATTTGGACGTGTGGAAGGCTCTGGACAGAAGGTCCTCAAGCTTCCAATCCTGGACAGCAACTCGCTTTAGGGGAAAACAAAATTTGGTTGATCCGTTGAAGGGAAGAAGGTGGAGTAGGGATCCGAGCTTTCCTTAAGGCTCTCTCCTCCCAAGAATTAATTCAGGAATTGATTTAATTGGGGAGAGGGAAGGAGATGATTTGGATTTAATTCCAAAGGGAGAGCCATGATTTTGGAAAGGAATAAAGGAGGTGGGGTCTTGGGAATTTCGGCCAGGAGAGAGATGAAAAAAAAAGGGTTTAGGTTCAATGTATTTGGAGATAAAGACATTAATTACTCAATTAATTCAGATTTGGATTAATTGATTTAATTAAGGGCCTTTCCAAAATTAGGATTAATGAAATAGGAAGGAGTTTAGATTTAAATTTGAACTATTTCAAAATTCAAACTCCTTCCAAAGATAGGTGGAGTTAAATTTGGAAGGTATGAATGAGGAATTTTAAATCTAATCCAATTAGAGATTAAAGTGGATTTGACTTGAAAACTTTCCAAAAAAAGAGTTCTAAATTTGGAAAGATTTCAAAATTCAAATTTCATTGAACAATCAAGGTTTTCCAAAGGAGGTTTTCCAAACAAGGATTATGATTTAGGAAAATTAATATTGAATCCAATCTATTTTGAATTAGATTGATGTCATGATTAACTTTCCTATTTTTGGAATTCTAAAAATGGAAAGAATTCGAAATTCGAAATTTGAATTTCAAATGAATTTGAATTTTCCCTCTCATGCATAGCTAAATTAGGGAATCATTATGATGATTGAAATCATCATAATGAAGGGCAATTATGAGGGAAGAGGGCGGATTGGCTAGGGAAGTGAATTGGTAAGGGGGATGGCCGGAAGGAGGGGGACGGTGAAGAGGATGAAGATAACGACGAAGAGCAATAAGAAGGAACAAAAGCAAATAAACAAAATATCAAAGATAAAACCGCGAGCCCGGACACATCCTGCGGCTGACGGGTACTACGTTGCCCTTCTCCAAGGGACTTCACGCCACGAGCCCGGACCCATCCTGCGGCTGGTGGAAACTCCGACTCCCTCCCATAGGGATTTCACTAACGTTCTTCCCAAAGAACCCAAGTGCAAAATGCAAAATTTTTTTATTAATAATCCATCATACCAAATACAAGAGAATGGGCCTCTATATATAGGCCTCAAAAGAAATTAAAAGACAGATTAGCCCCTTGGGCTTACATAAGACAAAAAGGTAAAAAATAAAAATTGCAAAATTAAATCAAAATACACATAATAAACTAAAATAAAACAAAGTGATCTCGGTCGTCGATCTTCACCTCCTCGGATAAGCATGGACGGTTGGATATCCGCATCACTTATATTCATTATAGCTAATAGATTCATGAAAATGAGGGACTCATATTACCGCAACAAATCAACACCATTACATACAAAAGTTCTGAGTTTTTACTTTGAATTTGAATATTACAAAATGATTGCTCATTTGCACATATTTTACTTAACTTATTACATACAAAAGGTACATGATTTTTACCGATGCAGAAAGATAAAAGCTGCCAAAAATGCTATGTTTGATTGGTCTAAATAAATTCTTCTCATTAAGGCTACATTTGGGACAGTTTTTTTTGGGACAACTTTCTTACTGTTTTTAAAGAAAACTATCCAAAACAAAGCCTAAGATGTTACATAAACAGTTTTTGCTTAACAACCAAAAAATACCAAAGATGGTGTAGAAAACAATCAAAACAAAATCAAGTTTACAGAAAATATTTAAAAAACCCAATAGTTTATTCTACTTGCTAACCCAAATAAGGATCTACCCCTTCAACCACAATCTTCTTTCTACTGAAGTGAAGATGCATAAATGTGCTCTGCTTGGGCATATAACACTGGATACCGAGCATGCAAATTTATAATTTTGTTGGGCCAGTAAATAGAAACCATGTATCTAGTGGCTTGACCAAAATCACCATGATATTTTCTGAACTAAGCCAACTTCTAGAACCATCAAAATATCTTGATACTCTACCATTGCCAACACTAAAACAACTACTGGTTGTCACGTATTACACCACCATGACAAAGAATCTATGACTAAATGAAAACAACTAATAGCAAGTCAAGTATCAATAACACCGGCATAATTTGTACTTTTGAATCTTTCTTTAAGGATCAACTGAAGCAAGGACTAGTTGGCTCTGGTTTGACCTACATGTCATGCATCTAATTCATATAAATATACTCTTTCTACAATGCAAGGATCGGCTAAGATTGTGCATGTCAGTCCCTCTATAGAACCAACATTGGTGGGAATTTTAATAACCTAATTTAAACTAATTAAAAATATTATTATTATTAATTATAATTAATACTCATCATATTAGCACATGACGAAACATGTTGCGCGTGATAGATCGCGAAACAACCTTTTTTGGTATAAATAGGTGGGGAGACAAAAAGAGCGAGAGGGAAATAAAAGAGCCAGTGTGCGAGCAGGCGCAGTGAGTGTAGGGCCAAAGTGTGCACGTATAAGGATGGAGACATGTGCGAGCACGGGCAAGCCCTGCGCAACAGGATCAGGCCAAGGGGTGTGCAAGTAACGAGCTAATCACGCGGTGCTCGTGCGAGTTCATAGTTGAGCACACGAGCAGGCCTAGCATGCAAAGCAAGAAGGTTGAGATGGTGTGAGCGGGTTGACAGGCCAAGAAGGACTTGAAGACGCCTTCCGGTGAAGATTTCGATGTCGAAAGCTAGGATTCTTCTTCCTTCTTATTAAGCCAAAAGGCAAGTTCGTTGTTTCTTCTTAAACTCAATTTTTTATTTTCTTTATATTTCTCTGTCAAACCTCTTAATAAATCTATGGCTTCCATAGTCGACCTATCCGGCATGAATCCAAATTGATTTTGAGAAACATTAGTATCACGCCGCAACCTATGCTCCATAACTCGCTCCCATAGTTTTAAAGTATGACACATTAACTTAATTCCTCTATAATTCGCACAATCATGTGCATCACCTTTATTCTTAAAAATAGGAATTAACACACTCATTCTCCACTCATCTGACATCTTTTTAGTCTTCAAAATAGTATTAAAAAGTTTAGTGAGAAAAGAAATTCCTTCATCTCCTAAGCATTTCCACACCTCTATTGGAATATCATCAGGTCCAACAGCTTTACCACTTCACTTTTCATTTAAAGCCTCTCAACTTCGTTTTATTAATAGGCCGATAAAAACAAAATCTTATTTTTCATTTAGGGTGCTAAGATCACTAATAGATCAATCTATTTTCACCAATTTTCATTAAAAAGTTTAGCACAAATATTCATCACACCTTGTTGAATATCATCCTTCTAAGAAATTATTTTTTTGATCTTCATCCTATATATACACTTCACTTGAACTAAAATCCTTATCTATTCTATCTCTGTTGCTTGGAACTTATACATATATCTTTCTCCCTCCTAGTATCTAATCTATTATATAAATCACTAAAGCTAAGGTCTTTGCATCGCATATTGCTTTTTTGGATCCTTACGAGCCTCTTATATATCTTTTCCCAATTATTAGAATTTTTCAAATTAAACTAATTTTTATAACAAATTTTCTTATTCTTAATCTTTTCTTGCACATTTAGATTCACCACCAACTATTTTTACTATGAGGAGTTTTTCCCTTTGATACTCCAAGCACATCTATTTCAATATTCTTAAATATGATATCTCTTCTCCCTCCTTAGTATCTAATCTATTATATAAAATCACTAAAAGCTAAGGTCTTTGCATCGCAAGTTGCTTTTTTTGGATCCTTACGAGCCTCTTT